CTTGAGCTAATAACTACACATTATTTTTAAAACGATCGCAGCTTTCATTCGTCATGATATTCAGTTCATTTCTGCGTTTCCAAAAATAGACATCTAGGTCACACCAAGGGAGGTAAGCGGTATGCAAATGAGATCCCAAGATTCCTTGCTCAGGCATGTGCAAAGCTACTAACCTAGTTTTTACACTATAAATAGACGCAAACACGCTAAGGGAGGTAAGCGATATGCAAATGAGGTTTTTCAAGACAAACTGATTGGTCAATGAACATTGTGACTCTGAATCCACAGTGTGAAGACAAATCTGAGCTCTCAGTACCAGTTAGAGAAAAGCAGGAAGCTTTAGTCAGTAACTGAACAACTGTTAAATCTATCTGCATGTAATTTGAAAGCAAAAGTGACATCTGACAGGGTGAAAGTTCTGCTGAACTAGAATGTCGTTCTGTTGTTTAAGGTTCTGAATTTCAAGTCCTGGAAAAGTAATCATTAAATGAATCATTTCATTTATAATTATGATGACATTTATGATATAATTCGTTCAATGTTAATAATTAAAGTAAGACAGTTACTATTTGTGTTCATACTTGTTAAAGTGGCTTCCAGTTGGCATCTTTCTTTTGATGTAATTTGTTTTTGAATCACTGAACAGAGTGAAGAAATAAAACAAAACTTTGGTTGGAATTGTTATTCACAAAATATTATGGTGAAATTACATGGGTCTGGCTAGTAACTTTTTTATGTTTCTAGTAGAGCCCTGCTGTTATTTTTATAATATAGCAGTCGACATGCCGCCCAGATAGATACTAAGGCTGTTAAGTTCACAAAACTGAGATAAGGGTATCGAGTGAATGCTCTGCCCAGGAGCGGGCGATACTGTCAGAAAACATTTCTGTCAGGTTGGCCGAATACTCATCGGTTATGGCTGACTTATGAAAGGGAAGGTGATTTAATATTTTTGTAAACTATGTACTGAAAATGGTAAAGAAGATGGTATGACACAAGATGCTAAATGCAGAAATTTTAAAAATATAACTTTGACCAGGCATCTCATCATAATGATAATAAACTGTCCGTTCAGGCTCCAAAACTTTGTGATGATTTCCAGGTTGCAACTGCATGTATTATGAAAAACAAGACAAAGCAGCTGTCGCCTTGATGAAATCTGTTCATTGGTTAGCTTGTGAAAACATCCCACTGACAAAGTTTAAACGTTTTGTTGACTTTTTATATGAATTTGAAAACGAAGACATTAAATCTCAAGGAAGGTAAAATCAACTATGATTCTCCAACCACTGCCAGTGATCTGTTAACATCTGTGTCTGATGTGATAGGGTATGAACTACAAGTTAAAATGGAAGAGTCTCCATTTGTTGCGATTTAGGTACTACCAGCTCTGTTCTGTGAAATATCCCAGACCGGTCAGACTCACCTGTGCAACCTATAGTAACAATAAACCAGTTTGAATAATATTTGTGGCATTAATTTTTGTTAGGGACTCATAAAAGTTCTGAGGGACTCAAAGTTATTCACCTCAGTGATTCCCGGGACTCAGGCAGTTGAATTTGTAGATTTATAACTGGTGGTGGTCTGATACGACGGGAAAATGAATCCTCCCGTGATATATCGAGGTCCGGACGCAGCCGAAAAGTTTCTCACCTGCCTGCAACGCGAGGAAAAAATCATCAGGAGAAATTTGTCCAGAATCATCCCCATGCGCATGACATGGTGCAACTGGTGAGCTCACGAGAACGCAACTCACTGCCACATGTGCATACAACCGCTCAATGGTGATTCAGTAAGAGATCACTGCCATGTGAATGGCTGTTACAGAGGGACCACGCACAACGCGTGCAACTTGACACTGAAAATCAATCCCAACATCAAGGAGAAATACATCTCGTTGGCGCTTGACGGACTGAAGTTCATAGATAGCTTCCAGTTCTTTCTCTCCTCGCTGGAGAACCTGGTGAAAGCCAAAGACCCCGATTCCTTCCACATAACCAATCGATACTGCTCAGAAAGGATGTTTATCCGTACGAGTACATGGACGACTGGTCCAGGTTCACGGAAACGCGATTACCTCCCATGGACCGTTTTAACAATCACTAGACCGACTCATCGATGAGGACGATTACTGACGATGAGGACGATTTTGATGTCCACCAGGCGGCATGCCAACAACAAGTATGTGGACGGCTACGACTCGAGCAAGCGCATACTCTACCTCGATGCCAACAACCTGTACGGCTGGGGCATGAGCCAACCTTTACCCACCGGAGGATTAGAGTGGGTGACCGACATGCAGATCGGCGATGTCACGAGCATCACTCCGGATTCGAACGTCAGCTACATACTCGGAGTCAACTTGGACTATCCCGCCGTGTTGCATCAGCAACACAACAGCTACCTGTGGCTCCTGAGAGTGGCTGTCCAGCTACCAGCAACACCTGCTAGGCAAAAAAGGCAAACTCATGCCCAACTTGATGAACAAGAAAAAGTACATTGTGCACTACAGAAACCCGCAGCTGTACACGTCGTTGGTAATGAAGCTGACGAAAATACACTGAGCTCTACGATTCGATCAACGGCAGTGGATGGAGCCGTACATCCAAATGAACACGGATCTGCGAAAACTTGCCACCAACTCATGAACAACTCGGTGTTCAGTAAACCATGGAACACCTCCGAAAGCGAGTCAACATGAAGCTGGTCCGAAACAAGATATTTTCCGGCGACTTGGCAGCGCTGCACATGAACAAAAGCCACATCAAATTCAACCAACCCGTTTACGTGGGACCCACATCATGGGCTTGTCCTGATGTACGACTTTTATTACAACGAACTCAAAACGCAGTACGGCAATCAGTGCAAGGTGCTGTAGTGTACACGGACATGGATTCGCTGCTGACGGAAATCCGTACCAAGGACATGTACCGACTTCTTGTTTCTACAACATGACACAGGGTGAGACGCAAAGCGTACAAGTATACCCTGACCGTCGTGGATGTCGCCAGTTGCTACAAAGAGGCGAAAGACAACGAAAGATTTGGCTGAAGTCGCGAAAACACTCGAACATATACACACACGCAGTCGCTTAACCTGGCCTGCTGAGCTGCAAGTTGATCCGGGATGCGATGTCATGGAAGCCGTATCACAACTGTTAGCCAAATACAAAGTCAAAGTCAGACATGATAATGTTAAATAAATGACTGAATGCTGATTTCTTTTTTCTGTCATTCCTAATTTCTGCATAACATTTTAATCCCTTTGTAACCAGCCACTGGTGCATGAAGGCCCCTTACTATTTTGTTTTTACTTGCCTTAGGGTAATGAACTGTCATTTAATTTATTGTTGGGTATTATAGGGCACACCTCATTTTGTATCATGAACGAATCGTAATCTTTTTTATTGTTTCAATTCTAAATAATAGTTAGGAAATCAAAATGTTAGAAGGGTTTTAGACTCAATGTGGCCACCCCATGCCATTCTGTTCTTGTAAATATAATTGTAATTAGAGTCTTGTGACTTCAGACTCTTTGCAGAGCTAAAGCCTCATATCAACCAGCACGCCATTACTCAGGCGACCATAACAATGTGTTCCACACTTTTGGTGGATGGTCCTTAACTCTTTCAACACCACTCAACCGGAGGCATTTACTGCCATGACACCGAGTTCACAGAGACTCTAAGGTACTAGATGAAGCCTATGTTTAGGAAGGAAAATATAAGCTTGTAAAACGTTACTGCTACTACCTCTCATACACCATTTAAAAGATCTAATCGTACGGTTGATAAATATGAAATTTATTTGTATCATATTATTCAAATAATACAACTTCAACTTAAATAAATTTATTTTTTAATGAAAATGCAAGCTTACATTTATAATGTCCAGATAAACCACGAAAGAAGCAAAAAACTATGGCTATTTTTTTTCAATTTGTGACATGTCATATCATCCCCGTGCCTTTTTCTTTTATATTTTCATTTTTACGTAATCAGAAAATTATTATAAAAAGATTTCTTACATAATATGTATGGTCGCCTATTTCATGATATCAGTGGCTTTCCGCTCGGTAACATGACATAACAATGGAAAATACCTCCGTTTTCAAAGCTTCGTATGAATAACATGCGAGGCGAATCGTTTGATGGCAGGGGTTTCACATGAAAAATGTGGTACCTATAATTTAGTAGGAGAAAAGTTAATTTTATGTAGACATGATAAACACGTAACATACATACGTCACCTTATTACTACTACGATATTTTATGTCTTTAGCTTTTTTTTGTCAATAGCTGTAAATTTTATATGTTTGTCTTAAGTGTTAACTATGTTCCGAGTACTGCCCGTTTCGGGACACTGCCGCTACTGCTCTAGTAATTTTATATGTACGTTTGACAACTTTTATGAATGCTATTGTTGATTTTATCCATTAGTTTATTCAATTTATTTAATGACTTCCTCTAAACATTGTTACTTTGTGCTTTGACAATGTTATTGTGGACCTGCTGCCGAAACGTGTCCGAGAATCGTTGTTTTCAATAACATTGCGAAAAATAGTTTATAATTTGAATTCTGCCGATAATATATGATCAATTGGAATTTAATAAGTGTTTTCAGACATTGTGAAATGTGATAGATTTAATATATAAATCATAAGTCAGGTAGGTTCCTAAAATTATGTCTCATTTTGATGTGACTACTGCCTGGCCGATTAATCGGCCTCCGGTGTTGAATGGGTTAAGCCATGAACAACATGTGAGAATCCACAATCCATGTTTACATACATCCCTTTTTTTGTGGTTTGCAATTTACAAGCTAAACAAGAAAATGTTGGAGTTTGCAGTTAGCAGAACGAGTACATTTTTCAATCAATGTCATGAACAAACTAGAAGAAAGGTGCAGGATATTGTTATAAACCTGCATCAAGGTCATTCATCTCTTGAAAATGTTTGCATATTTGTATGCTGCTGTCAAAGTTGTGTAAACATTTCTTACTGATGTGAGCCTCAGCCCTGCTTCTTTCAGACAGAATTTCATCTCATCAGTAGTCAAAACACCACTCTTGTCCTTGTCTTGTTGATAGAAGGCATTCTCCAAGTGGCCGTGGTGTTCATGTGAGAAGAGGACGAACAGTTTTAGAACACTTGACAAAACCTAAAAATTGAAAGTATTCTGTAAAATAAAGGTCAAAATTTAAATTGGAACAAATTTACAACAGAACAATTACCATTCAAATATAAACGAAAGCAACATTATGAATGTTACATATTGTATATCCAAATTGATGTAATAGAGCATGTAACATCAAAATGTTTAAGTAACTTTATATTTTATTTATGCTTAAAATACAAGAAACTTCTTCCTCTTCCCCCCCCCAAAAAAAAAGAGGCCTACCTTTAGAATACAGCACCACAAACTTTAAAAATACGTCATAATACCCTTTTACGTAATGTAATGTGATTTTGTTCGAAAGCACGTTCTCGATACAATGCCCTATGACGCCTGCAGGGCAACACGGTTGTCTGGCTCAGCGAGTGCGTATAAGCTCCGCTCACTGGTGTTTCATCTCTACGAGCTATGTCATTGCATAAGCCCAACGATGTTGAGAGTTTCCAGTAGTTGTATACCGGCGGATGCGCAATATTTTCCAAACACCAGTTTGAAATATTTTTCTTTTTTCACCAATACGCTCATATTTATTTGTATTACGGGCTGCTGAGGTGTTATGTTTTGTGTATTTTGTATTTTGTAATTTTTTTAATTTACATATATATTTTTGTCATTCAGTAATTTGCACCATTACATAGAAAAGTGTTTTATTAGTATTTTATTTTTCGAAGCGGTAATAATGCATTACACTAGACACGTCAGTCGTGTTCGTGCCGGTTCGGTCAATGCATTCTATTTATTATGATTAATTCAAGGGATTGGGGTTAGAGTTAGGGTTAGGGTTAGGGTCAGGGTTAGGGTTAGGGTTAGGGTTAGGGTTAGGGTTAGGGTTAGGCTTAGGGCTAGGGTTGGGGTTGGGGACCTAATGCAATATAGTAGGTACATGTCCGGTGGTTCGGTCAATGCATTCTATTTATTAGGAATATTTCAAGGGGTTAGGGTAAGGGTTAGGGCTGAGGGTTTAGGGTTTAGGGTTAGGGTTAGGGACCTAATCCAATATAGCAGGTACATGTCCGGTGTAATACGTGAGTACCATTGTTGTTTTTCCTTTTTGCATTTTAATACTTTTTTTTCACACAAAAACGGGAAACCAAAAACGTCGAAAGTACATTATGAAATGGGTTAATGTTGAAATTTTGGGCTAATGGAAATTGGCCTGGAATTTGCACTCAAGCCTCTTTCACACGCAACATAAATTTTGTTCAGTAATGATTCGAAGGCTAACTCACCCTCGTGCCGTCACTACACATGCTCATGTCTCCATCGTTCCTTAGTGCGATCCACATTATCCTTACAGTGTTCCCTACATCACTTTTCTGTCACAAAATCACCGATTTATATAAATGCGCGTCATTCATGCATGCACCGTGAAATCTACGCCTGACGCCTGACGTCAACAACCCTTTTCAGTTTGAGGCATATCGGCTCATTCCACGCCACACGTTAATTTGTAGATTACGGAATGGGACGAGTGTGCCAAATGGCATCGGATCCATTCGGCAATTGTCCAGAGAATAAAATCACGAGACACCAAGTCTACCCGTAGCATTCGTAATTGTCCGTGACCTATTCGACTCTTTCCGTTCACTTCCGTGACGTCACAGGAATGACTCGATAAATTTGCACATTGTGCAACAGTGTGGACGTAACTCAGTCGGTTAGCTGTCGAGCTAACAATCCGAAGGTCGCGGGTTCGCATCCGACGGGTTCTCACAAACTGGTTGCTTGTCTTAATGACATGTGACCTACGGCAGAGATCGTCCTCACGAGAAGTTGTGGTGCTGTATTCTCAAGGTGCTCCAAAAAAGAAAAAAAAAAAAAAAAGCCAACGTCTCCAACCACCTTTAAAACATCACTTCTGTTTTGAGATAATACATACAATTTGTAAAGACTTTTCGCATTAGCTACCTTAACAACAAAGATGAGGAGAAACAACCCTCAAGCTTTGAGGGTATTGAAGTATTGAACAGCTTTTCTTTTTGTGGATTCAAAATTTGTTATACTCTGCATCTCAAATGGTTTGTTTAGTGCTATTCTTGCTTTTTTGTGAAAAAACCCCACCTTAATTGGGAGTTGAGAAACTGCATATCATAACAAAAGATAAATAATAAAAAACTGCAGCCAAACTGCCATGTGTATGAGGCTGACTAGTGAATACACATTTTAATATGTGATGTCAATAGAAAGAAAAAATATTAAACAAATTTGGTTTCTTGAAAGCTTCATTATTTCATGCATCAAATCAGCATCGTGCAACTCTGGAAAACATCTTCTCACCATCAATATCACGTAGGAACTTTGAGATGAACCAATGTCAGATCCTGATAAAATGTACAGAAATGTCTTCAGTTAATCTTTCAAGACATGTGTTGCTTCAACAGTTGCAGTATCAGTTTGTGTCATTCACGTTTGGTATCTTTACCAGATGGGATACAGGTCTCAGGTTTGTTTGGTCTCCAACACTGACTACAGCAGTTTGCACTTTGCCATCAGAACTCTTTAAAGGGCCACTGATCCAGAGTGATTAATGTTTCCAGCCAACAGTCTAATTACGAAACCTAGCTGCAAACTGGTCAGCCCCTGCTCCCTCGACCGTGACGGACACGGGGACCCTGCTACTGTCCACCTTGGCAGAATTTCTTCAACCTAATCAGTGGGACATTAGGATGGATGCCCATCAGATGCCGTTATTTGAAAATATCCCCTACAGTTCTTGTCTGATTGTAATAAAGTATCCCAGCAGTGTAGGCTTTTTCAGATTTTCAAACGTTTGGATGGTATAGTGACTGATCCAATTTGATCCTTTTTCTGTGTTTTTTAACTCGATATTTAATCATGTAAAAATATGATGTCTATTACGTATGCTATGATATCAAAAACACACATTTGATATAAATGAATCTATAAACTAAACAACCCCACTTTGCCATTGCTAACAAAATCTGAAATTTTACTTAGGTATATACAGTTTTTTACTAAGTACACAGCAAATGCTTATATATATTTCCTAGATCCTATCCGATCATACCCTGAAAACAGTGTCGGCCCATCAGTTTGTTTTTTCAGACAATCAAACTTGCATGCAATACAGCGATTACTACTCTCTTGCTGTGTGTGTATATATATAAATATAAAAAATATGAGTCCAGATATTTCTTCTTGCCAAATCTCCTTTATATCTGCACAAGATCTTTCCCCGTTCAACGGCTCTTCAGGTGTACTATGAAAACACACATATATATGTTTTAATATTTGCATTTTGTTTTTATTTATTTGTTATGGCATTCAACAGAATCATTTTTTTTCCATGAAGAGTAATGAGTCAGACAACGTACTCTAGGTCGCACTTAGGGCGTGTGTGTGAAATATGATACACGTTGGCAATCTATAAGATGTCTAGATATTACAGTCATGTTATAAATTCACTAAGTATAAGACCAGTGAAGGTCCGGGTTAGAATATTGGCCTTCAGTAACTAATGCTTGTCGTAAGAGGCGACTAACGGGATCGGGTGGTCAGGCTCGCTGACTTGGTTGACACATGTCATCGGTTCCCAGTTGCGCAGATCGATGCTCATGCAGTTGATCACTGGATTGTCTGGTCCAGACTCGATTATTTACAGACTGCCTCCATATAGCTGGAATATTGCTGAGTGCGGCGTAAAACTCAACTAACTCAGTCACTAAGTATAAGCAGATCGTGTGCATTTTATTAAGTTTCAAAATGCATACAAATTGATAATAAACTAATTAGGATTATAGGACAAAATATAAAGACGTACATTGACTTCGTTATTTCAGTCCTAACATTTTTTACCACTGGCAGATGGTTAAACTTAAAATGTTTTCATTTGTTATCAAAATAATTCCATTTAATACAACATTCAGATTGACTAGTAGTGAACCCAAGCTCACTACTCTCCCCAAGACTCCTCCATGTACTTAGTTGGCCTTACTTTCAAACAATGCTATTATATCAGGCTTCTCACCAAATTCAAGGTCAAACTATTTCTTAAATTAAATTCTACATCCATTTATGGTAACATTTTTATAAAGTCAGCATTACTATGAAATAAAAATTTTACATCAAAATCAGCATTTTTATTAAAGTGAATTTGTTTTTAATAAGAAACCAAATTATTCATCACAGTCTACATAATTTTACAACAAAATCAAGATTATCGAGATTTATCTTTGTTGATCAATATATACGTATACTATCAATTGTGCATGAGGGTGGCGCAGCAGAGGTAACAAACCAGTCATGGATTCTGGGATATCATCCGGGTACTCACGGGAGAAAAACAGTAACAAAAGCAACAACCAGTCCACGGAAATTGCTCAGGAATCTGTGTTAATGATAAAATGTGACACCCTGAATCTTTTTCTTTGCACACTTGTTATTTACCAAATAACCTGAATTGAGCTTGTTAAGCTGACGATGTTTTGATTACGCTGCCATGTTTGATCACATGCTTTCTTGCCACTACTTGTCTTATGACAACATGTATAAACCTAATCCGACTTGAAAGACACAAGTCATCTACCAAGGTACAACAAACACGTGGCTAGAGAATGTCCGGTCTGGCTGATGTGCCTTTAACTCATTAAGGCCGAGAGACGCATATATGGGGCAAATTAATCAGCTCCTCACAGCGAGTGACGTGTTTATGGGGCAGGTAATTAGCAGTTTCTCACAGCAAGAGCCACATACAGTCGTCAACAGAAAGTACCTCTTATTCAGCGAGACGCACATGTGTGTTGTACTTTTAAAAATCGCACTGTACCTATTATTTCAAACAATTTAGCAGTACTGAGCAAATGTTAGCTTTTCTTACAAGAGATCCCACCTTTAGTGTCAATCAGAAGGAGTATTTAAAGTGTTTTGCTAATCATTATCATAGGCTTCTACAGCGTTTAGCAAATGAACGCATGTTGGCGAGAAAGGGGATTATGATGTTTTACAGAGGTAAGTGCCTGGTACTC